TTGGCCATGCTGGATGCTGCCCCTCAGGGGGGAGGAATAACCGATGATAAAAACTTGCCTTCCCTGTTGTTCGTACTGGATGCGAAGCACCACGACCCTCAACACCACCAGGAAGGACGTATTGTTATTATGCCCATTTTACAGATGGGGAAACGGAGACGCAGGGAGATCAACCCGAGATCAAACTGGGACCGAGTCAGAGTAGAAGCTGGGAGGCAACAGGGCAGTGAAGGGAGCCTGAGTCGGGGACAGAGCCACATTCACTGTGGTTGGCCTCCGTGTCTCAGTGTCTGGGGTGGGGGCAGGGAGCAGGGTGAAAGGAGGGCTCCCTTCCAAGACTTACCAGACACGAGGCTGACTCTTTCCTGGCACCACTCGACGGTGGGAGGGGTACCTGATGATCCTTTGGGTCTGGCCTCCACTGAGGTTTTGAGCGATGTTGTGCCAGCAGTGTGGGCCAACAGGGACCAGCACACGCCCCCCCCCCCCCCCCGCCAGGTCCACAGCCCCTCACCCCAGGGGGCAGGTCAGTTCCCTGAGATGGGGACCCTTGCATGAGTGATTTCCTGAAGGAGTGCTCTCAGGAGGAATTCGTGTAAGCAAATGGCTCCGTTCAGAATGATCGTGTCCCCCCCGCCAAGATTCACGTGCGGAAATCTTAACCCTCAGATATCCTGGTATTAGGAGGTGAGGCGTCTGGGTGGTGATCGGGCCATGAGGACAGAGCTCCTGTAAGTGGGACTAGCGCCCTTATGAAAGAGGCTGCATAGAGCCCTGCCCCGTCTCCCTTCTACCACATGAGAAGGTGCGGGCAGGGAACCGGGACGAGGGCCCTCCCCCTACCGTGCTGACTCCCAGAGCCTGGGCCGCAGCCTCTAGAACTTCGAGAAATAGGTTCGTGTTGTTTACAAGCTGCCCAGTCTGGGGCCCGTTGTGGTAGCAGTCTGGGAGGACCAAAACAGAGAGGCTGGGAGCCGGTTCTCTGCAGAAAAGGGCAGCCGGGGGCCGTCTGGGGGGCACCCCCCCCTCCCCCGGTCCGGGGATCCGGGCATCTCCCGCTCCACATCTGTGGAAGCTTCTGGGTCCCCGGGGGTGTGCCGCTCCTCCCCGAGGCGGCCCCGGACGCTCGGCGTCTACGAGGCCCCAGCGGCCCCCGCCAACGTCCAGCCCCGGGACTGCAGAAGGGCCGACTTTTCCAGCGGGCAGCTCGCGTCTGGCGAGGCGGTGTTTGCAGCAGGGGCCTGAGGTGCTGACCGGGGCAAACCTCCCACCGAGGGCTGGCTTCTTCTCGCAGGGCTTCCGGGACCCCACCGCTCGGAAACAGAGGGGTGTCTGTTGCCCAGAGAGGCACAAAGCGGAGGAGCAGCCGCGTGGGCCCCGCGCTCCCCGGGGAGACTTCCACCCGGGAGCTTCCTCCGGCCGCCACGCTCCAGCGGCAGCCCTTCATCCGAATCTGGTTCGGTCCTCTCCCTCCTGGGCTTCGTGCCCGTGCAAACACATTCTCAGCAGGACCCCCTCGGGCCCTGTGCATGAGAAGAACGTGGCATTCTTCTTTGAGGCTCAGAAAATGCAAATAAACAGCTCACTACGTTCGGGGGGGGCCAAACAAGGGCCCTTGCCCGTGGCGGGCCTGTCCTCCGTGTGGCCTCCTCAGGGGTCCTGGGAGGGGTGTGCACATGCGTGGGGCTTGGGGGTTGGGGACGGCTCAGAGAAGGGAAGACCCCTTGGGACACTCCACAAAAGCTTTACGACGGAGGTCCATGTGGGCCAGACTCTTTCTCCAGCTGGTAAAGGGAAGACCTCCAGCTGCCATGTTCCCTTCAACCCCAGGAAGACAGCAGAGGGACAGTATTTATGCTCATGGATGTGCCGCCTGGGAGCTAGATATCGAGACAATGGGGACAGGCGGCTCCAGGAGCCGGGACAATACCCAAGTGCTCCTTGCTGGGCTCCCAGAAATGAAAGGACAAGCCTTCTCTTTGATTAGAACGGAATCCTCAGGAAGAAGTTAGACAATGGAGCCGTGTGTTCATGTCACTGTCTGCCGTGACCCAGAAGAAATTTCTCTCTCATGACAGGTTTAAAACATGGCGTCTCCAGCCCCGCCAACCTCTCCCAGGACCCTGCATTACGGAGGACTCAGCTACCTGGAGGTCCTGAGGCGTTTCAGCCTCTGCCCAAACCACCCCAACCAAGCTCTCTCGACCCATCCCTACCCTCCCACCTTCTCAGGGGTCAGAGTAAGGGAAGTTCATTCTGAAATTGGCAGGAGGACGGGGTGAAAGAGGGGATGTCACTCTGACTCATCTTTAGCGCCCCCCCTTCCCTCTGTTGAGTGGAAAACATAGAATTTCTCAACAAACCTGCAGTCGCCATTTTGGGCGACGGCACTGTTGTTAAAATACCGCGTGTTAAAGTACACGAATGTTTACAGCAGCCTAACTCACAGTAGCCAAAGGTGGAAACAACCCGGGTGTCCACCAACAGACGAATGAGTGAGCAGAATGTGTTCTACCCATGCAATGGGATAGTATTTGTCCACAAAAAAGGAACGAAGTCCTAACACGTGTTACGACACGGTGGAACCAGAAGACGTTGCGCTAAGCGAAAGAAGCCAGGCACGACCAGACCACCCACGGTGTGATTCCATTTATAGGAACTGTCCAGATGGCACCTTGATCTTGGACTCCAACCGTCCCAAGCTGTGAGAAATAAATTTCGACTGTTCCTAAGCCACTCAGTCTGCGGCATTCTTGTTGTAGCAGCTCAAACGAACTAAGACAAACTGAATGACACAAAAACAAACAAACAGGACTGCAGACTCCTTCTCAAGGCAGGATGCTGGGCCGGTTGAGGACAGACTCCACACCCACCCTTTCCTGCATGCCTCGGATGGGCCCTTCACTCTCAGGATCTGGGTGGGTCCCCCCCCCCCCCCCCCCCGCCACTGAGAGAAAAATGCCTTCTCCGTATCCAGCATTGTTTGAGTCCCTGAGGGAACAGCTAGTTATTCCCGATCACCTCACAACTAAGTCCCCTCCATCCCGTTCTGCCATGTGAACTGGGCCCCCATACTTAACCTGTCAGCCTTCCGCTTCCTCAACTACATGTGCCTGCTTGCCGGGTTGGTGGCAGAAAGCTTGTCCATCCACAGCAGACATACGAGATGGATACGAGACCATCATTTTTGTACTCTAGGTACCACTGGAACAAAAAAGAAAAAAAATGGGGGGGCGCCTGGGTGGTTGAGTCAGTTGAGCATCCTATTCTTGATTTTGGCTCGGGTCATGACCCTAGGGGAAGTGGGATCGAACCCTGCCTCGGGCTCCATGCTGGGTGGGGAGCCTGCTTGGGATTCTTGCTCTCTCTCCTTCTGCTCCTCTCCCCCCTTTCACACACACACACTCTCTCTCTCAAATAAGTAATAAATAAATAATAAAATCTTATTCTACTCCATAGCTATAAGCCTCCTGTCCAGCAGGGGGAGCTGTCTAAAGGAACCTTTCACCAGTTCCCCCATTAGGAATCGGTTTCCTTACCTTTTTTTTTTTTCTTCTGCTCCCCTGCAATGATTTGAAAGGTAACTCCCCACCTTGATCCTTGCCCAAAGGACCATTGGGTAATCTGGATGATCCCTTTTACCACTAGAAGCTGTGCACTTTTACATTCTGAATCAGGAGTGGGCAAACTTTTTCTCTAAAGGGCAAGAGAGCAGGGGCGCCTGGGTGTCTCAGTCAGTTACGCGTCAGACATTGGCTCAGGTCATGATCTGGCGGTCCATGGGTTCTGAGCCCTACGTGGGGACTCTTGCGCTGACAGCTCAGAGCCTGGAGCCTGCCTGGGATTCTGTTGTTTTCCTCTCTCTCTCTCTCTCTTTCTCCCCACGTCTCTCAAAAATAAATAAACATCAAAACAAAATAAAGGGCAAGAGAGTAAATATTTTAGGTCTTGTGGCCCACACATTATTTGCAAAATCAGGTAAATGCTTGCTACCTGTTTTTGTACACCTGTGAGCTAAGAAAGGTTTTTACATTTTAAAGTGATTAAAAAAAAAAAAAGAATAACATGTGACATGTGAAAATGAAATCAAATTCAAAATTTCAGCGTCTGTAAATAAAGTTTTATTGGGACACAGCTACATTCACTCATTATGTATTAGCTATGTATAGCTACCTGTGAGCTACAATGGCAGAGCTGGGCAGTCATGGCATGACCCACATGCCTAAAATATCTTGCCCTTTAAGAAAAATTTTGCTGAGGGGCACCTGGGTGGCTCAGTCGGTTGAGTGTCTGACTTTGGCTCAGGTCACTATCTCGCAGTCCATGGGCTCGAGCCCCATGCCGGGTTCTGTGCTGACAGCTGGGAGCCTGGAACCTGCTTCAGATTCTGTGTCTCCCCCCCCCCCCCCACCTCCCCTGCTTGCACTCTCAGAAATAAGTAAACATTTAAAATTAAAAGAAAAGAAAAGAAAAGAAAAATGTTGCTGATCTCTGTTCTAAACAAATAATTTTAGTGATTAAAATCCGCCATAGTGGATGGATTCAAGCTTGCTGTCCTGTATATCAGTACATTTTTTTTTTTTTTTGATACAAGGAATCTCCTGTTTACTCATTTGTAAAAGGGATGATAGCCCTACCTCATGAGGTTGTTGTGAGGAATTAATGACTTAACATACGAAAAGCAGCTACAACAGAGCCTGGAATTATAAGCACGCAATAAATGTGCATTCTATGTTAATGTATAAAAATGAATTTAAGGGGCACCTGGGTGGCTCAGTCGGTGAGCGTCCAACTTCAGCTCAGGTCACGATCTCACGGTTCGTGAGTTCGAGCCCCGCGTCGGGCTCTGTGCTGACAGCTCAGAGCCTGGAGCCTCCTTTGGATCCTGTGTCTCCCGCCCTCTCTGCCCCTCCCCTGCTCATGCTCTCTCTCTGTGTCTCAAAAATAAATAAACATTAAAAAAAATTTTTTTAAAAGAATTTAAATAAATAAAGAAAACAAAGACTTCCCTCCTAATTTATTTTGAATGTGCTGTAAACAGTTTGAAAGGTCCCTTTAACAGCTTCTGGCTTCTCTGGTATTGGATGACATAACAAATACTCCTTCATGGAAGGTACGAGTGAAATAGAACCGGAGGGGCATTTTGGATCCTTCCCTCTTCAGAAAGTGTGATCGCATAAGATGTGTCTCTTTTTCAGTAGAACTGGCTCATATTTGTCGGGAGTGAGGTGTCCAAACCACTGTTCATCCATATTTCCTGGATGATTTGCTCCCTGCGCTCAATCCTTTCGGCCAGCTCTGCAGCCTCTATGGAACTGTAGACAGGATACGTAGTCCTACAAAACCCAGACGGTTCCCCTGGAAAATCAGAGTCTGAAGAGTCCTCCTCCCCCTCTTCATCCTCACTGTCTTCCTCAGCCTTGTCACTTCCTGGCACGAGGTGCTCCTTCACCAGCTGCAGCTCCCGGAAGTCCTTGGTGCAGGACACCCTGATGACCAGGGCGCACAATGTGAGTGCAAGACCGATGCAGACACTGGACACGAATAGCAGGGCTGCTCTCTCTGGGTGGGCTGTGGGGGGGGGGGGGGGCAAGGACAAGTCAGGAGCTGGCCGGGACTGTCAGCCTTCACCAATCCACAGAAACAGACGTCTGCCCAAACCAACAGCTCACGCAGGACGCCAATCCTGAGCAGCGTCTTTTTCTTTAAATACTTTTTTAATGTTTATTGATGTTTGAGAAGGGGAGAAACAGAGCACGAGCGGGGTAAGGGCAGAGAGAGAGAGAGGCAGGCACAGAATCCGAAGCAGGCTCCAGGCTCCGAGCTGTCATCAAAGAGCCCAACGCGGGGCTCGAACTCCCGAACCACGAGGTCACGACCTGAGCCGGAGTCAGAGGCTTAAGCGACTGAGCCACCCAGGTGCCCCTTGAACAGCATCTTTGAAACCAGCCTCACCTAACTGGTCGTACACTCCCGTTGGCTTAAAACAAGAAAAGGTTTTGAGCCTGCGTGGTCAATCCATATAGGTACACGAGAGGACACACAGCAGAGCGACTTAGAAGCTGGACCCCACCACCCCGACCGCCCCGAGTGCAAACTACGATCTGCCACTTATTAGCTGCGTGACTGTTGGCTGGTTACATAACCGCTCTGTGCCTCAGTTTCCTCATATGTAAAATGGGGCTAATAGCACCTTCCTGCCAAAGAGTTCATTCCTGTAACACTCTGGGAACATTCACTGACACATAGTAAATGCTCGATAAACTGTTCACTAGTATTAGTGGTAGCAGCGAATTATGAAAAATTAATTTATATATAAAGTATACGTACATGAATGTACTACGAATACAGTAGATGCTAGCAAAGCTTGATGTCTTTTAGATTAAAAAATAAATGTACGCAGAAGTTTCTAGTAGTTCTTCCCACATCCAAATGATTGCGTAAGAATAACAGAAACAATGCTAATTTGTACCACGTATTCTGGCCTAAGTCCCGACATAAGGTGAATCCTTATCTTACCCCTGCGCGGAAAGGGCCATTGTTGTCCCCGTTTTGTAGTTATGTATCCCTTGAGGTCCTAGCACTCCCGCTTTGGGAAATAATGATGCAGCAAACTCCCTCAAAACAGAAATCAGGCGCTGGCAGACTTTCTCCTTCAAGGGCAGATAGTGAGGATCTCAGCCTTTGTGGGCCGTGAGTCTGTGCTGCCTTTGTGCACAAAGGCAGCCCCAGACCTACAGGGGTGGCTACTAAAACTGGATTTACAAAACCGGCCCGAGGGCCACAGTTTGCTGACCCCTGAAACAAAGGCTCAAGCTGAGCCAGCAAAGGGAAGCCACCGCCTGTGGACAACTGGCCTCTGTAGGCTTAGCCAGACCTGGATTCGGGATCTCGGGCTGTGAGCTCCTTGTGGGGTGGGCACTTGGAACCCCTGGCATTTGCTCAGTGCATCTCAGTGATCCTTCTCTAGGCACAGCAACCCCCCCCCTCCCCCGCCGCCGCCGCCCCCCATTTACCACGCGGAAGTATCATGAATAATGACTATTGCCTTTGCTGCCTCTGTCCCCAGAGGTCCAGACTGGTGTCAAAACTCCAGGGTTGTTAAGTTTCCTATATCATCAAGGGATCTAGCCCACTGTGGTCTGATGGGAAGAGATCTAACTAAGCAGGACGCATCCCCTGGAAACTCGAAACCTCTCTGTTCGGCTTCCTTCACTTGCAGCTCAAGTCGCGGGTGCAGCTCCTGGACCCAGATATGTTGTTCTTTGTTGCCATCACCCCTACTAGTAAAATCTGATCGCTCTCTTTATGACACGAAGTCTTAACGCCAATCGATCTAGCTCAGGGAAGGACAGGGTGTGTTAAGTGCTATTAATAGTAATATATTTTTCCTGAGGGTCAAGGCATTTTGAAGATTTGATCAAACACAGCCATGCATCCTTTGCGAGAAAAGAAAAGGCTATTTTCGTTTCTGGGAGTGGAGGTAGAATGGGGATTGGGCTGCCATTTGGGACAAAGTCATTAAACAACAACACACAGAATGATGGAAAGACCAGAGACTCTAAGGCAATAGGGCGGATGTTTCTTTCTCCCTCCCGCACATCACAGCCTCCGCTGAGAGCTGACTCCTCACCCCTGACTCCTCTCCCCTCCTGTCCCTTTGAATGTCCCTTTCCTCTCCCTGCTGCCCCCACCCCACCCCACCCGCCCCAAACCTCCCAACCAATGTCCCCTCTAACCCCCCCATTCTCGGGGCACCCCGATGTGGGCTTTGGATGCAGCCACTACCCATCTCCTCCTTCCCTCAGCATAAACCGTGAGTCCCGCTGGCAGCCATGCATGCCGCCATCACCCCTGTGGCACCTGTAAGGACTGTGGGTGGGGCAACGGAGTCCCGCCTGTTCCTTTTCCAGCCACCCACAGGTCAGGACAGGGCCACTTCCAGGGAGAAAGAGTCCCGTGATGGTCGAGCTTCCAGGAAACCACGATCACCGGTTTCTCTCCTCTCCTCTGAGAGGTCAGTCATTCCCAGCAGTGGTGTGGTGGGCAAACCTGGGCCTCACCCTCCCTGGACAGAGTTTGAGATCTGGCTCTGCCCCAGGCAGACAGGTTAACTCTGGGCTAGTTACCATACCTTTTTCTCCCCCCTCCCCTCCCTTCTTCCCTTCCTTCCTTTTTAAGGAGCCCAGGTGGACAGAATTAAATTAGGAATTAAATTAGGCTAGGACACATCCTCTTTGCTGGTCAGGGCATGGCCCTCCTTGATGTTTATTCATTTCATTACTTTTATTTTTTTAAGTTTATTTATTTGAGGGAGACAGAAAGAGAGAGCATGAGCAAGGGAGGAGCAGAGAGAGAGAGAGAGAGAGAGAGAGAGAGAGAATCCCAGGCAGGCTCCACACTGTCAGCACAGAGCCCGATGTGGGGCTCAAACTCACAAACCGCGAGATCGTGACCTGAGCAGAAATCAAGAGTCAAACGCCTAACCGACTGAGCCACCCTGGGAGTTTTTAACTGAATATTATGCTGCCTCCTACTGCTCCGTTATCTTGACTACGCGGTGGCTTATTCACACTCTCTCCTGCTGGTCGCTGTCTCCGTGGTCGTCAGGCTCTTGCCACGTGAGCACCGTAGCCTCAAACAGTCCTGTAAATGTCCCTGATGTCCACGTGCAAGTGTTCCTCTTGGGGACGGACCTACGAGGGAGCTGATACATGTATACAGTTTCTATATATTCTTGGTAATAACCATTTGACAGTATATGTTGTGACTATCTCTTGGTGAGTGGCTGGGACTTCCACTTTCATTAAGGCGTCTTTTGATCTGGTGAATTTATCTGAAAACCAGGAACACCACCGCCCTTCTCTGTCTTCCTCTCTCCTCTCTCGCCCTGTCACCCACCTTCCCACTGTGGCCACTGCAATCTTTTTAAAATTGCACACGGGATCACATCACTGCCCTACTTAGCACCGGGAAACAGTTTCCCTCTTTTCACTAAGTTGGAAATCAAATCCTGACCGTAGCCTGCGAAGCCTTGACCTTGCTAGGCCTTGGCCCCAGCTACGCTCCCCAAGTTCAGCTCCAAGGACTCATTCATGCCTCAGTTTCTGTTTTCCTGCCGCATTGGCCTCCTTCCATTCCCCACGGGGCTGGGGCGAGGGGCAGATGGCCTCACACCTTGGTGCTTTTGCACGGAATGTTCTTTCTTCCTCCTTCATCTAGACCTTTCTGCCCCCACCCCCAGGCTGGGCCAGGTCCCCCCCACCCCCCCCACCCCCCGTCGTTAGGTTCCATAGCATCTTGAATGTCACTAAATCGCTGAAGGTGTTTTATCCTGTCTCACCCCAGAGAACGCAAGCTCCATGAGGGCAGGGGCCGAACTCTCTTGTTCTTCACGAATCCCCAGCGCCCAGGGCAGAGCAGGGATTATGCAAACACCTGCTGAGTCCGGGAGAAGAGGGGTGCCCTGTGGGCGGGGCTCCATTACATAGCTGCCTCTCTTCCTCTCTCCCTCTGCTTCTGGGAGGTGACGGTCAACTTCAAGGAGAGCTTCTCACTTATCAGGCCCTACGTGCCTCCTGCCCAGTGGTCGCTCTTTAGGCCATGTCTACGCCAAGTCTGCTGAGATCCCGTGATCAAAGTTGGTGAACACGGCAAAGCCTCATGGGAGCCAGGCTTCCTCATCATCTACGCTGACTCATTTGAGGTCACAGAATCACCAGGTGTTAGTTAGAGGGCACCTGGAGGTGGGCCGGCCCAAGTCCTCCTGAGGCAGCCTCGTCCTTTGTCCACAGCCACCGCGTGGCTGGGACCCCGAGCTCCGGCCGGGCTCTCTCTCCACAGCCACCGCCCCCTGGACTTTACATTGAGGGCACATCGTCAGTTTTCAACTGGACCACTCGCAGCTTTTACGACCCCTTTCCTATTATGTGTTCCAGAAAGATAAAGGCATTAGTCTCCCTGCAGTTAAAGAGAATCTTCACATCGTGTTATTGTTCTCAGTTCAGCCTCAGTTCATCACAGGCTTAAGTGAAGGGCTTTAATGTCATCGGCTGCGGTAAGCCCGCAGGAATCTCACAAGGGTGGCCTGTGGCCTTTAAGGCCCCTGACCCTTAGATCTCTGGTCTGGAGCCAACACGAGCTCCAGTTCCAACCTGTTGTGTCCCAGTAAGACGCCAAGAAGCCGGGGCCAGGGTCCCGCCTCCTGGGCCCTGCTACTGGTGGGTGAAAGCACAGAGCTTCCTGAGCCCTTGGTCTGACAGCACTTACGGATGCGATAATAACCTTGTCACAGAACCGAAGATTAGAGACCGTGGGAACACATCGGAAGCCACACCTCAGTGGCAAGGTGGCGCTGATCCCCGATCATCCTCCCTCTCATGTAACTCTGACTTTGGAATGTGTTATCATACTTCTATTTCAATGCGAGGCCGTCTCGTAGCCTAGAATTCCTTTCATATAAAACACGATGCCTCCGCATCTCAGGACAAGCTCTGCTTTCTGACCGTGACCCCCAGCTACCCTAGTTACCCCAGGTACCCCGGGCGCCCGGACCGTCCACAGCATGCTCTGCCAGAGGGCTGGAGGCCCAAGCAGAGGCAAGTGACAGAAATATTAGGACACGAGAGGCATGCCTGCGGGTATATGTGGGGGAAACACACCAAGCTGCTGTCACGAAACTTACATAGGTGGAGCGGGTGGGGCGTCTGGGTGGCTCAGTTGGTTAAACGTCCGACTTTGACTCAGGTCACGATCTCACAGGTCACGAGTTCAAGCCCCACATCAGGCTCTCTGCTGTCATGCAGATCCTCTGTCTCCCTCTCTCTCTGCCCCTCCCCCACTGACGTACATGCACGCGCACGCACCCTCTCTCTCTTTCTCTCTCTCAAAAATAAAATAAACATTAACAAAAAATAAGTGCAGGGGGAGAGTCAGGTTCTGAGCAAGACTGTCCAAATAAGGCTCCTTGGGTACAGTCTGCTGGGGGCTGATGGCTGAGCCAGCAAATAAACCGCTTTCCAAGAAACACACACACACACACCCCTCTCCATTTCTCTGATTTCAGAATTTTTCCACAGGCTTCTTCAAACTGATGATCTGGTTCTAGAATGAATTAGGTGTGCACAATTAAGCGTACGTTCAAACGTACTAAACGTACTAAAATGATGCCTCACTGTTGGGGAAAGCTTCACAGGTCACTTACATGGCCCAAAGAGAAACTGTTCATCGGGGACCCCTGGACATTCTCACGTCCGTTCTGCCGACCCCTGTGTTCCAGTATCCCAGGACATGCCCCTCAGTTTTGGCTTCCAGTCGACTTGTCCCCTGTGTGTATGTGACTGCACCAATGTGTCAAAACCACGTGCAGCCTGACCTGGGGAAACGTCCTTTGGGATCCACCCAATCTCCGGAGCATGCGAAGCTGATTTTTCCAGAAGCTGACCCGGCTCACTCTCAGCTCCGGCTGCTCCTGCCGGTGGTTCCCCCACCCTCTCAGACAGGCCTCCTCCCCACGGCTTTCGGGGACAGAGGCACCCAAGCAACCCTCAATAAAACCAAGTCACCAAGGCATGAAGTCCTTACATTTCTTCAAAACGGACTACCTATAAATAGCAAATACACGGTGACAAGAAGGTGCAGGACAGCTCATGACGCCAGATGAAGATTCATCATCTGCTCATTGGTTAACCACTTACCGAGCATCTGTCCCATGCCAGCCTGTCCTGGTCCCTGGGCCGTGACAACAACTAAGAGAGCAAGCACTGGTCCTCAAGTCAGGCAATGTGTAGCAGTGAAATGGGTGCTAATGAGAAAATCTCTCATTTGATTTCTGGGAGGCACATGTGTGTAAAAGGACAGACACGGAGGGAGGGAGTAATTCAGGTACATCCACCCCTCAAACTTCTGAAGGGCACATTTGTTGCTCAGAGGAAACCAGAGCACAGGTTTTCTATCTGCTGAGTCTGAATCGTGGCCCTGGTGATGTCCCTGCTGTGGCCTCAGGCAAATGGCTCAACTCCTCCGACCCTGAGCTTTCCTATGTGCAGAATGGGGGATCAGAATCCTCTCTCTCGGGGTCTTTGCTATGGACTAAATTGTGCCCCCCACCCAATTCGTGTGTCAAAGGGTTAATCCCCACTGCGGCTGTATTTGGAGACAGGACCTATAAGGAGGTAACTAAGGTTAAATGAAGTCATTAAGGGTGGGGCCCAAATCCAAGAGGATCAGGGTCCTTACAAGAAGAGATGCCAGACAGCATTCTCTCTCTCTCTGTCTCTCTCTGCCTTCCTCCTTCTCTCTCTCTTCCTTCCTCCTCCTCCTCTCTCTCTTTCTCTCTCCCCATCTCCTGTGAGAGCACAGTGAGAAGGCATCCATCTCCAAGCCAGGAAGGGAACTCTCACTCGAAATGGACTCTGTGGGCGCCTTGATCTTGGACTTCCAGCCTCCAGAACGTGAATTTCTGCCGTGGAAGCCGCCAGCCTACAGTGTCTTGTCACGGTGGCCCAAGGCGACCAACACAGTTGTCGAGAGGCGCTGACAAGGCTCAGCATGGCCACAGCTCCGTGAGCAGAGTCATCGCGGCTCCTGGTTGCTCGTTATTCCCTGAGAGATTTTTCATGAACGCCTTTCCTCCAGGGGGCTCTCCAGGGACTCTGAAAACGTGGGGAGATTTCTGACAAAAATCCTTGCGGTGCTTAACTTTGACAAGGGTGACACAGGGCTCTGGGGCCTCCCCTGCTGGGGGATCGGGATATTCATGGGAGCCCTGTTAAAAGAACAGCAGGGCTGGGAGATGCAAAGCCTGGAGGAGAGCTGGCTGTGGCGGGGGTGGGCGCCGCCCCCCCCCGGGCAACCAGAAGAACACAGAACGTTAATACTAGTTCTCTCCAAGCTTTGAGAGTAGGGGCGAGTCCTAGTTCTTGGTGGGCTCCCGTGTTTGCCACATCAAACATCCTCTACTTTTATGCAGAAGGGGAGCAAAGGCCTCATAAATGTTATCAGAAACAGCAAGAAATGGAAGTCGGAGGGTCGTCTGAAGAGAGAAGATTCTCAGAAGCAACCAACAACCGCACAGCACACACTCAGGAGGAATACGGACGCCGGAAGACGATGGAACAGTAGAAGATCCCAAGACCATCCTTTCCACTCCCGTGTGGAGCTGTTTCCTTAACACTTTTCTTTTCCTCTGAGGAAGGCTTCCCCCCAAAGAGCCTCAGCCCCGGCGGGCCTTGAGCGGCAATGCCACAGCGCTCTGTGGTCACACGAGTTGTACAGAAGGCCTCAGAGGCTTTGGCCTCCCTGAACGGAGTCAGGCAGACATCGCCGAAACCTGCGGAGCTCACATGACAAAATATGGTCTACCCTGAGGTGAGCGGACAGGGTGGTGATGAAGGCAAGGCACGCACCGTCCCCTCACTGATGCCGACGAGCAGCTTTGGCTCCGCCGGGCAGGGAGGGCTGAGTCTGATGGATCCTTGAGGGGAAGATCATCAAGGGGATCCTTGGCAACCGTGGGAGGTAACACTGGCGAGTCAGGAAGAGACTCAGCCTTCCCAGGGCATGGCCTGTTCTGTTCACCAAGGGGACCTTTTAGCTCCATTGTCTCCCAGCCAAGGGTGGGATTTAAGAACCCCGTGCCCTCCCCAAATTTGAGAACTGGGAAATGTACTCCTCGGGTTCCTACTTCTCTCAGAGGAAACTACTCATGGAACCCAACTCCTAAGCAGTGTGACTTGATCTGTTTGCCTCCTCCCCATGTTGCTCTCTGGTGGGTGTTAACCCAGCTGGAGCGGCCCCTGAATTTAGGCCCCTGTGTTTCCAGATCTTAGGAGACAGCACGTGCTGAGTCATACTTCCAGTCGTTTTTCGTTGGCCGAGTGTTGTAATTAAACATCGCAGCTGGCAGTAAGGGTTCGGTAAAGCATTCTGGGAAGCTTCGATTCATTGACCTACCTCTGATGTAGGCAAAGGCAGCCAGAGAGTTGCTAACAATAACTCCGTCTTTCCTCAGAACCCTCGTTTCGCCTGGGTCAAAGTTTATACCTGTTTCGTAAAAAAGAAATGCGAGGGCGATGAGTCACGGCCGTTCACGGGATGCCTTCTGCTCCCAACCCAGGACTGCCATAATGAATAAAAAGTCACAGAAATCCAATAAATGGGCCTCTGACTGAATTACAAAAGACTACAAGCCAGCAAGAGCACTGAGTAAATAGTCTCTGAAAATATTAAGCCACAAGAGGGATTTAGAAACCCTAAAATGGGTGGGTTCCAACGTTAGATGCCACTCATCCACCCCACCGCGGCAGGGAACGAGAGGATTTTCCCGTCCTACGGGCAATGGCATTCGTCATGCCTCTGGGAGGCTTACGCACGGCATACGTACCTAACCACAGAGCTGCTGTCTGCACAGAGAAGAAGGGAGGGAGATTATGGAGGGAGATTGTGCGGGGCCACTTTTTTGGAAATGATAGCAAATGCAGGGCAGGTCTGATTGCCAATGCCTGGTTACACTTCTGTGATAGAGCTCAGCGAGCTCGCGATGCGCAGCCTGAGAGATCTGGGGACCCCTGGGGATGACAGACAGGGCCCCCCCCCCCCCCCCGGGGCGGGGGGCGGGGGGGATCGGGATATTCAGGGGCTCAGGGTAGGAACCGTGTCAGAAGCAGCAGTGGGGCTGGGAGATGCAAAGCCCGGCGGAGAGCTGGCACGGGGGTGGGACTCGAACACAGAACTTAAGTTAACATTAGTTCTCTCTAAGCTTTGAGAGTAGGGGCGAGTTCTAGTCCTTGGTGCTTTCCCGTTTTCCGCGTCAAGCATACTTCACTTTTCGATTTAGGGACAGAAGACCTCATAAATGTAATAAGAGTAATATGAAACTTTCAACACACAACGTGCAACATCTTCGATGCTCTACAGAAACTTTGTGGTTCCCATCAGGAGTCCCAAGGGGCTGAATTGCATTCTCGATCGGATAAGAAAACTAAAATGTTCACCCCCACCCTCCTATTTACAAGAGCCCAGTGAAAACCGGAGGGAGGAGGGGGGGGGGGCTTCTGGAAGTCCTCAGGCCCAGCCTCGGTCTGGCCCACCTACACTCCCGATGGGTCCTCTTTCCAGGAGGCCCCTCATCCAGGAACCCCGAATTTGGTTCCGAGCAGATCTCTTTTGCCAGGTGGTACTTTGTTTGGGAAATAAGCAGGGAATGGAAAGAGGTTTTATCCCACTTATAATTTGAAAAACAAAACAAAACGCCAGCCACCGTTTGCGACCGATCACCACAGCACTGCCATCACCAGAGCTGGTAACTCCAATGACCTCCTGACATCCCCCTGTCCAACCAGTGTCACCCGACTGCAGTCACATGGGGCTGTTTACCTTCACTTAAAGAAAAATGCTGGTAGTAACCCAGAAAAATTACCATATTCACCGTCTTTCTGCTTCAAAGAAGGTTTCAGATTAGCAACGGCCGGATCGATCGCTGTGAGTATGTTCTTGGGAACTAAAAACCAAAAAGAAATATCTTAATTCAGGGATGCTTGGGTCGTCAGTCGGTTAAGCGTCCGACTTCAGCTCAGGTCGTGATCTCGCGGTTTGTGAGTTCGAGCCCCGCGTCGGGCTCTGTGCTGACGGCTCAGAGCCGGAGCCCGCTTCCGATTCTGCGTCTCCCTCTCTCTCTGCCCCTCCCCTGCTCGTGCTCTGTCTCTCTCTCTCTCAGTCTCTCTCAAAAATAAACGAAACATTTTTTTAAAAAGTTTTAAAAAAACTGCAGTTCGGTGCTGGTTGTGCATTTCTGTCAATTTCCTAGAACGCCCTGAACTGTTTTTACTTAAAACGGGTGAATCTTAAGGTATGTAAATGACACCTCAGTAACTAACGCTGTTAACTCTGAACGCGAACTTCTCGGAGATTCAGTGAAACAAGATGACTGTAATCAGCCCGGAATCCACCACAGAGCTCTCCCAGCTCCTCCTCTGCTTTTCATCCACGGCTCTCAGTCCTCACTCGCTTCCTTAATAAGCCTGAAAGAGAATTCTAAGACCGCATGCTAGAATGATCCTCTAAGTACTATAAGGACAATAGACAAATGAGAGGGGGCAGCAAAACAGACTGTTTTGGAAGTGGATTAACGATTCTGCAGAACTGACCCTAAGAATAAACCATCGGATCTCAAGATGCCCTGGGGCAAAGCAGACAGGACTGTAGCGTGAGCGAAAGCAGAGGGCAGAACAAGACTTCTGAAGGCGAAGTGCACCACAGCCAGCTAGGAGAAGGGAGAGGAAACCAAATATTTTTCCTGCAGAAAATTGCTTATTTTTGTTTGTTCGTTAGCCCAGCTGGTATCTGGGAGAAGTGGCAACAGGAAACGGGAGTGAGCCAACGTAAACCGTCCAAGTTCAACTGCACTGAGTTTTAAAAAAGAGCTGGGAAGACATCTTCAGTAGCAAGAAAAGCTCATTTCCTTTCTCAAAGTGCTTAACTAAATTCTTTTAGGGATGTCCCAGGACCAACAACCAGAGAACATTCCTAAATTGTGGATTTTCCGTGCACAGGAGACCCTGGTGCCTTCGCGCCCATCGGCAGGGACGGTCACATCTAGGTGACGATGACAGGAGGCGGCGGAGGCTGTCAGAGCCCCCCAGGAATGCCCTTCAGCTGACCACAGCCATACCGCTGACCCAGGGACCAGGGCAGCGCCCCAGAGAACCAAACTGTGTGGCCACAAAATGCTTTCTGACGCAATAGCCTCTGCAGCCTGAGAAGGACGCCCCTGATTCCCTGGCAGGATTAAGTCCTCCCTGCCAGGAATGACACTTCTTTCACATCTGTCTCTCACCTTGTTCTCAAGATACGGCCTGAGCAGGGCTGGGCTCACTGCAAATGCCAGAGGCTTTGCAGTTGGAGACAGACGAAGAGCTCAGGGAGGAAGGACAGTCCAGAGGAGCTTTGCAGAATAACCCGGCCCTCCAGACATTAAACTGCTGTGCGTGATACAGGCTCATGTCAGGAAACTTGCCCACTTACTACATGACGACGGCCCCGCGAGTGGGTTAGGAACCTGAAAATAACAACAGGAGCTGGGATGCGATTTACTACCACCCCGCAAGCCTGACTCTCTCCATTTTAGATGCATTTGTGAGACCATGAGCAAACTGTTATTCGTGGAGCTCCTGATACGCGCTGGACCCCGGGCTCAGCGATCCAACGGTGCATCTCGGGCAGTCTTCACGGAGTGAAGACGCGTCTCATCCTCTTGCCCGCAGATGGGACAACTGAGGCTCAGAGATGCACCGTTCGCCTGGGGAGAGGTAGCGCCTCCGCTCCTGGTCTTGGGCACACATGCCCTCGATCCTTCCGTGATGCTGTGCTGTCCGTGGCACGCTCAGCCTTTGGCAACTGGATAAAGGATTATAAAGACGGCAAGGTGATTCCCATAGTCCCTGTGAGTCTGTCTGGGTGAAACCAGAGAAGACGATTCGCTAAATTTGAGCAGGGCAACCACCTTGAGTTCTTTTTCCCCCTGAATAAATCTTCTGTGTCAAGCTTCGGTCCGTGCAGACCTTAAGAAAGAAGTCTCTCCCCCGCCCTCCCCCCCAAAAAAAGAAGGAAAGAAGTCTCTCCAGGTTGAACTTAGGGTGCGAAAGGATTCTTCGTGTTGGAGAAAAAATGGTATCTCTGCTTAACTTCTCCTTCTAGGTAGGAGCCTAGACTACATGAGCACCTACAAATCCTTGCACTGAATCCTTCCTGTTCCCCAATCCTGGTAACCCCCCTTCCTGCTGCCCTTAAATCCTAGCACTCATTCTTCTTGCCCCCAAATACTGGTACCAGTATCCCTCTTGTCCCCAAATCCTGGCCCCTGTTTCCCTCGCCCCCAAATCCTGGTACCACCATCCCTCCTGTCCTCAAATCCGGGCACCCTCAGCTCCCAGAGCAGAGACAATAACTGCTCACCGCAATTTCCCTACCCAACCCCCAACCATGAAGTGCAATCGTGGTCGCTGTGGGTGAGGCACCTCGTCCCCCTGCCTGAGTCACAGCAGTGATGAGTGGCATGTGTTTCTATAGAAATGAGGGCCCTCAGCTTGATATTCAGTATTTGTCCCTAAAGCACCCCCCCCCACAGGGTGGGGTGCCCTGTCCCCTGTGTGGGCACAGCAAGACTGCTGGGTAGAATCCCAAATCTGGATCAGACGCTGCAGTTAGAAGCAGGGTATTGGTGGGTCTTCTCTGATCCTCTTATGTAAGAGCATCTTTTTTTTTTTTTTTTTTTTAATGTTTATTTTTGAAAGAGTGCGAGTGGGCGAGGGGCAGAGACAGAAGGAGACACAGAATCCGAAGCAGGCTCCAGGCACAGAGCCTGATGCGGGGCTTGAACTCATGAACTGTGAGATCATGACCCAAGCTGAAGTCAGACACTCAACCAACTGAGCCACCCAGGCGCCCCAGGAGCATCTTGACTTGGGTGGAGTTTGGCTGGGCCCCTCTCTCCAGGCAGCCATGTTTATAATCACATCACATGGCCTCTGGTCAGGGCTGATCAAAGGAGGGGGGCTACCTGACCCCAGCCCAGCCAATTACATATCTTTCTGTTAGAAATTTGGGGGGCACCTGGGTGGCTCAGGTCACCAACTCTTGGTTTCAGCTCAGGTCACGATCTCATGGCTCGTGAGTCTGAGCCCCGCATCCGGCTCTGTGCTGATGGTGTGGAGCCTCCTTGAGATTCTATCTCTCCCTCTCTCTCTGCCCCGCCTGTGTGTCTCTCTCTCTCCCTCAAAATAAATAAATAAACTTGAAAAAAAAAAAAAAAGAAAATTGGAATTACTCCATATTGCTAGAAATGGGACATGAAAACGATTCAGGCGGTGGCGGTGGCCATATACGATCCAGCTCAGCTCACAGGCAGGCTGTGTGTGTGCAAGAGAGAGAGAGAGAGAGAGAGAGAAAGAGAGAGAGAGAAAGAATAAGGAAGAAGTGCCATGAGAAGCAGAGAAGAGAGATGCCAGAGATGTTTGCCATGACCTTGGAGCTTCAGCCCCTCCTGAGGCCTTGCTTCCCAGCCCTGTCTTCTGAAGATGGGCTTCTAGCCACATGATGCCCACCTGCCTCAACCCTCTTTTTGGCTTAAACCCACTCACGTTCATTCCTTCACTCACACCCGAAGGGTCCTAACTAAGATTCAATTAGAAATCAATGATTGACAATCCTCGGTCTTTGTATCCACGTCCACATCCATTGGGAGAAATTTTTTTAAAAATGGAAAACCTTTCATTCCCATTCGGTGACCTATAAAATATTCAGACATTGCAAATCATTTTTTAATGATTCTGGTTGCACCGAGAAGAGCCATCTGGCCGAGGGTGGAGAGGGGGATATTTTTTAAATGCCAGCCAGTTAGAAGGTGATGAGAAGGTGTCTTAGGAAGTGTCTGCTTGGTGGGGGATGGGCATTAGCTTGCCTCCCAGCGAGGCACCCCTTCCCTTTGGAATACGTCCTGGGACCGCACTGGCGGACAAGGGGGCATGTCCTAGGGAGACGGGAAGGACACGGTCAACATCCCATTACCTCCACTGCCCCAGATCTAACACCAAGCTGCAAACCCCATCTCTGACCTCAGCCTCCGTCCCTCAAGTGGCTCCCTCTGTAGCTCTCAACCTCGTCCAGACCCTCCACTGACCCTACCTTCCCTTCTTCCTGAAGCCCCCTCCTGTCTGCAGCTGGGATCCCACTCCCCACCACTGTGATCACTCACTTGGGATCACCCCAACTGTCTCCCTCCTTTGTCTTTGACCAGTGAGCCTGGTCTCACATCTGGTCTCAAGCAACTGGTCCCACTGGAAGGAACCACGCCCCCGGGCAGACCAGTGTCCTCCCCCAAGAAGTCTGACACGAGCCTCACTTTATACCTTCCCCCATCTTTTCAAACCGTCTTCCCTCCCCTGTCCTCACAGCTGATGACCTTATACTCAGAGAAGACCGAGGCCGTGCGACAGAACAGCAAGCCCCCCCTCCGCTCCCTGAGCCTTCTGTCCCGTTGTGACATTGACGCCCGTGTAAGGCCACACCCCATCCCTCTGCCTTCTCCGGGCACCAATCCTTCCACCAGGCAGGAGTCCTCAGCGTCTGTCGTGCCTTCGCACTTTCCAAACCCTTCTCCAATCCACCTGATTTTTTATTTTTGCCATGGCCACCAGGCCTGCTCAGCCCAAGTGGCTCCTGTTCTAGCTGGTCGCCTGCCCCCAGCCCGTTCCCTGGAGCTGCCTGATGCCACCTTGACCTCTGTAGCTCCTTGCCTCCCTCCTACTTGGTGCTTCGCATGAGCCTGGCAGATTCACCTGCTTGTTTGCTTAGTTAAGTGCCCATCTCTCTCCCTCAACCGATAATCCCCAGCACAAGGACTGTGCCTTTTTTTTTTTTAAACTACAGAATCCTGGCACCAAAACCACCTTGACCCAGGGAACGTGCCCACGATGCGCTGAATGAACGAACGAGGGACAAGAAGCTCGAGCTGAAGCATGATGTCCAGGCCCTGAAAGCCCACCTTCTCTCAGCTAAGAGCCCCAGCCCGAGAACCTGCGCTCACCTCCTTCTCGAAGGCACACCGGGAGATCCCCCACATCAGCAGGCTAACGTCCCGCAACACTCAGCTGCAGAGGTCCGACGTTACTAGAACCTCAGAGTGATCTGTGTGGCTTCTTGGGGAACCCCAGCCAGAGGGGGTTCAACGCTACAGCATGGGAGCAGGAGTAAAGCTTGAGGGGGGAAGTAAAACCACGCTTTCCGCAGCGCAAGCATGGGTGCTATTATTTCGGGAATGCGCTGATGCAGCCACTTCGTTGGACCCGTGACGGCTTTGGCGCGGCAGAGGCCAACGTTTTGAGCTCAGGATACAAGAGGCAGGGGATGCATCAGAATAGCACGAGGCCACAAAAAAGAAGGGCGTACTTTCACGTGCTACAACATGGATGAACCTTGGCGACACGCTACGCAAAGGAGCCGACACAAAGGAAGAACCACACATTGCGTGATTCCATTTATACGGGCCATCGAAGAGGCAAGTCCATAAAGACAGAAAGTAGATGGGTGGTTGTCTGGGGCGGGGCGGTGGGGGTGTATTAGAGGTCGCGGCTAAAGGTGCAGGGTTTCCTTCGGGGACCACGAGAAGGTTCTTAAGTTAATTGTGCTAAGGGTTGCGCGATTCCGTGCCTAGACCAAAACCAACTGCTTCGCGTGCCTTAACGGGTGACCTGGGTGATCTGTGAGTCACCCCTGAATATGCTACAAAGAGAAAAAGGGAGGACTGGCTAGCAGGAGAAGGGGTTGCCACGAGCACAGGGACGGGGCTCCTCAGATGCGGGACTCTGTGCTCTCCCTTTGCTCCTATGAATCATTTTGGGATGAACAGTCCACACGTCAGGATTACAAACCAGAAACCTGCCACACCCGCAGGGAGTTAATTAGTGCCGGTTCACTTTGAGGTAGCTTTACAAAGTTGGAATCTAATGAACCAAGCATTTCATTTTCTTGCTCGAAGACACCGGAAAACCGAGACATGCTGCCTTGTAACATTTTTAATGGCTTTAGGGTGAGGATTTGCTCTGTTGACTCACCGCTGTGGGTTCGCGGATAGAATGGCAGCAGAGAGAGTTAGAGCCGAACACCGAGACGAGGAGGTTAACCAGGACCCAAACAATACTTCCGGGAGCCTGCATGACGTATCCATACATTTTAGAGCCTCCTAAGCACTCAGATTAAAATCACTATTCTCAACGACATCAGGTTTACCCCATTCACTTGTTCTTTTCCTATTCTCCCCGTTTGCAGCCAATCTGATTGCTGAAAAGGCTTTTAAAATTGTTTTTTTTTAACGTTTATTTCTTTGAGAGAGAGAGAGAGAGAGAGAGAGAGAGCGAGCATGAACGGGGGAGGGGCAGGGAGTGAGAAGGAGACACAGGATCCAAAGCAGGCTCCAGGCTCCGAGCTGTCAGCACAGAGCCCGATGCGGGGCTCGAACTCACGAACCGCGAGATCGTGACCTGAGCCGAAGCCCGACGCTTAACCAACTGAACCACCCAGGCTCACCCTGAAAATACTCTTAAAACAAATTCTGACCCAAGAACTTGGACGGCTCTTCTAACATGAACAGCATTTACAAGAATAAAGGATAGAAAAAGAGACTCTTGAATATTGGGGAAGATAACACACTTCCAGGCGTAGCCTCAGTTTGGCGTGCTGCTGGAAAATGCCTTTCGTTCCCATGATCACCTCCTCCCAAAGGGGCAGGGTCTTCCGTGGAGAAGTTTGTTGAGGGTGCGTTCTTACCACAGGCATAGGTGACGGAGAGGTATTTTTGCACTCCCGGCAGACACGGGCTCCCGAAATGGTGATTGTTGGCGATGATTTTGCATCTCTGCTTCCCGTAGCACCTCCTGGATAACACTTGCAAAGCTGAGTAAGACAGACAGTCTGAAAGGCAGGGAACAACGGGAACGTTATGGTACATTCCGTATCTGGCCACCACGTGGCTCTTGTTATTTTCTGTAAGGAAATACACGGAGCTGACTTTCAAATCTCACGGAGATGGACTCTCTGATTATTTTCCGTGTCATCAATGCTTTACCCTATAATCGTACAGGCTAAGTACCTATTAATCGTACGGGCTAAGTACCTTATAGGCAGAGCTGGCCTCCTGACATGTGCTAGAAGGGTCCGGTGCTTACTGTAACGCCCTGCAGTCACCACCTTGAAATTCTTACGTGGTTTTTGAACAAGGGGTCACATATCCTCCTTTTTGCGTCAAGCCCCGCAAATTATGTAACGGGCCCTGCATACAGAACAGGCAAAATATGTAGAAAGTTGAACGAAGGTCCTTATTTCTCTTACGCCCTTTGCCACTCCTTAAAACATTTTATTTGCCTATGAGAAACTTAACAGAAGACCACGGGGGAAGGGAAGGGGGAAACATAGTTGCAACCAGAGAGGGGGGCAAACCCGTGAGAGACTCTTAAATACAGAGACCAAGCCGAGGATTGATGGGGGGGTTGGGGGATGGGGAAAATGGGGGATGGGCACGGAGGAGGGCACTTGTTGGGATGAGCATCGGGTGTTGTATGTAAGCGACGAACTACAGGAATCTACCCCCGAAACCAAGAGCACACTGTATACGCTGCATGTTAGTCAACTTGACGATGAATTATATTTAAAAAAAATAAAAATGAAATGTGTAACCCCAAAATATATATTTTATTTGTCTAGTTTGAGAATCCATCTCCCCTATGTGAACATAAGCTCCACAAGGACAGGGACTCTTCCTGTCTTGCTCGTCCTTGAATTCCAACACGCTGATGAATGAACGAAACGTACTAATAAACGCGAGGCCATGTTTCTCAGCACCTGGCACAACGCCATCGCAATCAGTAAATATTAATTTAACATGCACACAGGATGAGGTGCAGCGACGCTATGTGCCATCAGGAAGACAAGTCAGAAGACATCTACTTTTCACTCACAGGTTGGGCTGCAGCTGGAGAGACAACCCACCCACCCCCCCCGCCCACCCCATGAGACCTGATGTCTTAACAATGGAAAACAGAGAGTGAGCGTCAGCAGTGAGTGACCAGGACAAGAGGTGCCGGGGTCAGAGATGGGAGAGATCAGTGTGAACCAGAGTGTGGTCATGACAGGCTGTGCGGAGTAGAGGGGCTTGGTCAAGGGAGAAAGAGCATGAATTAGGCAGAGGCAAGTAAGAAAGAAAGGCATAAACGCCAAGGCAAGTGGGCTAGCGTCACTCGGGGAGGCTAGAGGGCTCATTGGGAGCTGGAACAGTGGACGCGGGCAGGGAGGCCATACAGAATGATCAAGAAAAGGAAACTGGAGAGGGACAAAGGTTGCCTTCGAACGCCTGGCCAGAGACAGACGTTACTCTCCAAGCAACATGGAGCCTAAAGAAGTGGACGGCCTGATGCTATTGTCCTTTAGCGACAGTGTACGGGAGCCCCCGGGAGAGAAAGAGAACCAAGCTCGGGGAGACCGGTTCGGAAGCGATTTTAATAACACACTGGGAGGAATTAAGAGCTTGAAGAGGAGAGAACAGAGGCGAGAATTTTGGAGACCTTACAAAGTTCGGTCCACTTATAACAACAGCTAACATTACAACAAACTCTAAAAATTGAGAAGACTGACAATCCTGACAATCCCAAAGACTGAACAAGACACGGATCCGTGGAAACTCCTGAGCACGGCCCGTGGGGGCGTAGATCGTTCCTGGACCATACATCGCCATCTTTTACATTGGCATATTTCACACCCTCAGACTCCATGGATTTACTCTCAAGAGGTCCCATCTGCTGTCCCCAAACCCTGCAGGATTTGCAGTCAAGAGGTCTGAGGATGGGATGTACGGTCTCTGCTTTGGGAGGAAGTCGCTAGCTGTCTGAATTACGAAATTCCTAGAAGTCTGATGTAACTGTTGTTGTTTTTTCTGTCACAAAGGAAATGCCTGTTTGTAGTCGAAAACTAGAAGAGCCCAGAGAAGCCCAAACTAGGAAACCAGAAATTCCCAGCGAATCCAACCATCGAGGAAAAGAACTAGTAACCTTTAAGGAGCCTCCTTCTGGTCTCTTCTATGTGTGACTGTCCTTCCCCCTCAATGGTGGCATATACCTATTACTCCGCGTGCTCCTTCCTCCTCATTTGTTAATGTGTCTGTGAAAATTTTAACACGAACATCACTGCGAAGAATTGCACGGTTTTCCACCTTACGGATGCGCCGGCTCTACGTTCAATACTCAATACAATCATCATTCCGATGGTTCTGGCGTGGAACCTTAGAAGCAGTTGCGTGTGGGGCGCCTGGGTGGCTCAGTCGCCTGAGCGTCTGACTCTTGATTTCTGCTCAGGTCGTGACCTCGTGGTGTGGGACGGAGCTCTGAGTTGGGCTCCGCACTGACAGCGTGGAGGGTCACGCTGAGAGGTTCTCTCTCTCCCTCTCTCTGCCCCTCCTCCCTCCTCAAAATACATAAACTTAAAAAAAAAAAAGCAGCAGTCCTGTGTGGAACATCCATTGAACTAAATATTTGCACACGAGCACGACGCTTGCCATGGGAATTCTTGGAAGTAGATTGTTTTGTCAAAGGTTATTCAAAATATTAAGGCTTTTGATACTCACCGCCGAACTGTCATCCAGAAAAGTTCTACCCATCCACGCTCTCACCAGAATGGAACGAGGACCCTAGAAACCTTATATTTTCTTAGGACTTGTGACAAGCGTGATTTACAGAGGCAGGTGTCCGCACCCTTAAATTACCCTGGGACTAAAAGAATTTATCTTGGTCGGAGTGAAACCCACAGTGTGTTTTCAGGAAGCGGCCCAAGGTAATTCAGGTCTGACTCAGGTCTGACCATATCCTTGTTGACACTGAGCTCTGAACTGTTCACGGGATTTTTTTTTTTTCCAGTGATTATCTCCCTCTCAGGCTGATTTTGTTTGCGCCCTCTCTTCCTGGCAGACCATCCTCCACCCCCAATGCATCTGATAACACGATATTCAACCATTTAATTCAATTTTTTTCTCGCGATTGTTTAGCACTGAAACTGAAGGCAATTAATCCTCACAACGTGTGTTTATTTTGATAATTAGGCCGCTCTCAAGTGACTCTGTCTTGGCAGTGGGGGCCCCTGGCACCTTAATCTTTGGCTGGAAAGTTCGAGGCCCACCCACACTTGGCCTTGGGATGGCCTTAGCCCAGCCTCTGAGGCCCACTGGGTGGTTTTTCTCGTTCTCTTATTAAGAAAGCAGCAGGATCCCTGGAGCCCACCCAGAAAATGTAACTGCAGCAGGAAATGACATGTCACAGTGGACGCCCAGCCAAGGGAACTTTCTGAAGTTCATGCCCAGGTCTGTGGGAAGGCTCACTCCCTTCTGTGATGAGATGCAGTTTCACTGGTGTTCACTTGGGGCCGGCAGTGGTCAAACACTTTCACACCTTCCCTTCCCTTCTCCTCAGTAAGACCTACAGGTCCTGATCGGACTTGCCCGAAGACCTTTCAGAAGTGACTTCCAAGGGTCAACACCCTCAAGATAAGACACCAGATTAGCCTTGGTTGAACCAGTATGCAGCGGGATCTTACTTTTGGAAGACGGTCTCACAGCTGGCTTAGTTAGTCACCAGCCTTCTGTGTCTTCCCTTTTATTTCACAGTTTACTTTCATTTCAAAGTATTACTTTGTTAGGGCTGCTATTACAAGTACCACAGCTGGGAGCTTGCACAACAGAAATCTATCTCCTCTCAGTTCTGGAGGCTGGGAGTCCAAGATGGCGGCAGGGTCGATTCCTTCCAAGGCCTCTCTCGTTGGCTTGCAGATGGCCGTCTTCTCCTTTTGTCCACACACACGGTCTTCCTCGGTGTGTGTCTGTGTCCTAACTTCCTCATCTTATAAGGACACAAGTTATATTGGGTTAGCACCCACATGACCTTAATTTAACTTCAACATTTCTTTAAAAACCCTCTCTTCGGGGTGACTCGGTCGGTTAAGCTTCTGATTCTTGATTTTGGACCCAGTCATTGTCTCATGGTTCCTGGGAGCCCCTTGTCAGGTTCTGCGCTGACAATGCGGAGCCTGTTTGGGGATTGTGTCTCTCCCTCTCTTTGCCTCCCTCTGTCTCTCTCTCTCTCAAAAATAAATAAATAAAAGTAAAAAAAAAACAAAACAAAAAAGACCCTCTCTTCAAATCTGGTTGCATTCTGAGGTACTGAGGGTTAGGACTCCAGCATATGAATTTTAGGGGCACACAATTCAGCCCACGACAGCCTTCACGATGGCCTCCAGTCATCTTCACCTCCTGGGACTCACACCCCTTTGTGTTCTCTCCTCTCACAATGAATCAGAGGTGGTTTGTGGGGCCCATATGGTACGGCGGAGGTGACAGCGTGTGGCTTCCATTTGTTTCTCTGTATCACTTGCTCTGGGAGGAGCCACCTGACACATCACAGGACACTCAAGAGACCCACGGGAGGAGAATAAAGGCCTCCCACCCACAACCGCACCAACCCGCCCACCATACAAGCGATCCACGTTGGAAGCCCAGCCTTCAGGTGACCGCAGCCCCAGCCGGCCACCCATCTGCCACCTCACCAGAACCCAGGAGACCCGAAGCAACAGCCACTCAACCTAACTACCCCAGAATTCCTGCCCCACAGAAACTTTAACAAAAATAAATGTTTGTTTTTATTTCAAGCCATTAAATTTGGGGGGTATTCTGCTACATTGAAACAGAAAACTAACACATGTTTTGATACTTAAAAGGGGGTTGCTGGGGTAATAAGAAATTCCTAAAAATGTGGGCGTGGCTTTGGAACTGGACTTTGGGCATAAATTGGGAAGACATCGAGGAAAGTGTTGATGAAGGTCTAAGGCCTTGAAGAGCCTTCCAGCATCTGTAACCTCTGCACCCTGAGGCCAAGTGC